ACAACAGAACTTTGCCTGCTTGGACAATTCTGGGTACTCTTCGCGTAAATTACCCCAAAAAGCAATAAAAGAAACTTCTTTCAATTTTTGGGTTAGTTGACTGTCAGAAGTTGTATTGATTAGATTCTCAAAATCTATATCAGAAAAATTGTCTGGCTTGTCTTTTATGAATGGATTTCGAACCCAGTCATTATGGTTTTCATTCACCGTGACGATGATCTACAATTTCATTGCAAATTTCATCTTCAAGTTTAGTTTCTGATTCTTCAAGAAAATATAATCCAACTGTGTGATCTTGGAAATATGCAAACAACTCTTGACAATTCAAACATTCTAACAAAGGCTTTACCTCGTGAGCCAATGGACTTCTGAACGCAAAAGCAGAGCAGAGTGGTGCATACCCATTACTTCACATATAATTTTAAATAGTCATGACTGTAATAGTTGACTTTTATAACACTAATAATCTGGACCGATTTGTCTAGCACAGTTTAAGTGAGATTGAAATATTTTTAGTGTATGTCTGTGAAGAACACGTTTTCTACGTTTCTTATTCGTGTCACAGCGCCTGCCACTTTCCTAACCATTGCTTTGGTACCATCACTGCACACATCTACACATTTGTCCCACTGTGGGTGTTCATGAACTTCTGGATACAGTTAAAGATATTCTCACCAGTGGTAGTTTTCAAAGTTTCAGCCAGAAGCAAGTCTTCTTCAATCTGTTTGTCAAAATTATATCTAACAAAAAAACAACAAGTCCTGCAACATCTGTGGACTTGTCTAATTGCAGTGAGTACCCATCACATTAATGCAGTTGAGAAATTAGTTCAGTATGGATGTCATCAGCAAGATCATGAATATGGCGCAAAATTGTGTTGTTCAAAAGTGGCACAGCTTCAGTTTTTCTACTCAACTTCTCACTTAAAATACATGTCACTATTCTTTTTCACATGTTTTTTTTTTAATACTTTAGTTTTGAAGAAAAAGAAAGAAAAAAGAAAAAAAAAAGAGGAAAAGGCATATGACATTCGAGAGCATACAATAAACATTGCCAATATTGCGTTACGTAAGGCACGATACTCAATGTTTAATCCAGGTTTAGTTCCTCTTAACTGGTGAGGTAGTCGGCAGTCCAGTTTGTCATTATGCCGTCATTTTGTCATTTTATAATGTTATAATGTTTTAACAATGTTATTTGCAACTTGGAACTTTGGGGCTGTTCCACAGTCCCCATAACTGGTGGAAATAATGAAGAGAGAGATATGAGAGATAGGAGAGAGATAGGAAAGGATAGAGATGGAGGAAAGGTAGTAGGTTGGGGTCATCAGGGCTAAGGGTGTCGGCGCCAGTCAACCCAAGTATTCCATCTCAGTCCCAGAGGGACCCTTCTAGGATCGGTCAATTATGAGTGTGTAGT